TGAAACCCTTTCGTCTGAATGAAGGGCTCATCCACAATGTTCTCAGATGCATTGCGGAGGTGGAGTTGCCGGGCGAAGGAATTCACCGACTGCAGCAAATCTGAGCTGGCGTTCCTGTCAGGAATGAAAGCCCAGTTTGAAATGGCTGCTGTGTCGAGGATGTGGTTGGCCACTTCACTGTAGCTCTGCAATGGAGAAAAGTGGATATGATAAAAAAAAAGGATTCACACAGTATTTACAAAAGTCGGTTTCTAAAATCTGAAATTTTGGAGGCAAATGATCTGATCTTATTTGGGCAAATTCTCCTGGAAATTTCCTGTTTATTGAATCTCATGCTGATAAGCCTGCAGGGGAAGACAAGTAAATGAATGCTAAAAATAAAAATGTATCACAGATAAAGTTTATCTGCTTTTTTATGTGCCTAGGGCAGCATTTCCTAAAAGGCAGTCTGTATAACCCGTTCCATATGATAGTAATGATTGTTTAATGCAGGAGATTGGGGATAGATTCTATAATAATTTAAGTTTGGGAAATACCATATTCCTATCTCCCTCACTCTTATAAAGGGTGCCAAAGTTCATTCACACATTAAAAGGTCTAAAGAAGGAAACCTGCTTAACTTGAATTCAGAGTCCCTATACTTGCTGCATCTCCCTGTTAGAAATGGAAGCCCCGTTAACATTTCTCAGAACAATTATGTTCTCCAGAATAAAATGTTGGAAACGCTAGAGTAGACACGATCTTGCTCACTGCCATCACTATGTAATATTTTTTCTGCAAATATGAATCCTATACCACAAACATATGTAAAAAATGTTCTAACGTTTTGACAACTTCCATAAACGCGAATGAATCCATGTGAGACACGGAAGTGAAATTGCTGTTATTGTTATATTTGCTATGGTGGTTATAGTTTTTCCCCTGCAAAATATATTTTGAAATTGTTATGAAAGGGCAAGCTTTGGGGGGGAGATACTGGTCGATTTCCAACAAAGAACACCCACCTTCATTTTCTCTCGGGTCACATTATCAGACAAGTCTGTAGAGATGTTTTTTAGCAACTCCACAATAAAAGCGATATTTCCAGACGTGGCTTCTGAGGATTTCACCGCATCGATGATGCAGGCGTAGTCCTGCGGGCAGCTCCTGCGGATTCCCTGCACCACGCTCTCCATGGGCTCCGGAGCGCGAAAGTCAAGAATACGCAGAGGAAATAAGGGTGCTGCCACCGAAAGGCGTGATGCACTGTTTACGTCCTGTGTTGTTGTTTTTTTTTTAAAAAAATGATGTTTTAGTAAAAATGAATAAACACCTAACACGCATCAGACTAAATGAGATAAAGGCACAAAGGGTCAACATGAAGAAAATAGATGAGATGCTGAGAGTTACAGAGAGGTTAAGGTGGGGTCTCACACAGGCAGGGGATTGTATCAAAGTCCCCGTACAGTTCTCTTTTCCTTTTGGAATTTGCTTTTGAGGACCAAGACTTTAACTCAGGACTGAAACAGTTTTCTCCAGAGATGTGGAGAAATTCTAGAAAACATTGGTCCAGTAATTATTATGTTTTTAAGAGGTGCCACATTAAGAGGAATTTTGAGGATAGTGTTGGAGATTGGCCAGTCAAACACGGAACACAGTGGAATTGCAGTTTCAAAAAGCTGAGTTCACTCATTAGAATAAATTATTTGCTTATTTTCTCGTATGTTTCCCCAGAGTCTCCCAGAATGTGACTTTGGATAAGCCAAAGCAATAATATACTTCATTTAATTCCCTTTGGAATGCCACTAGGGTTGCAGGACCTCTACCTATGCTAAGTGGCAGAGCCTCCATGGCCCTTACAGAGTCACTGTTGAAGTTTTACAAAAGGCAGAGATCCATGTGCTTCTATGGGATTAGAGAGAAGGTAGATGTACATGGTACTTAAGTGAAAGAACGTAAAACAGGATATTTTCATTCTAACTCAGATTTTTTTGTTTTCACTGCATTGCTATTCCCTTTGGGTCACTCATTTCTCCTTTCTTTTGGTCAAGTGATTGAAAGTATTAGAAAAAATTGAAAATGAATTTGTTTCTAGACACATTTAGTTGATTAATTAGGTAGCCCAGAGACAAGCAAATCCACCTTTAGAGCTAAAACTTTACCCGGACTAGCATGGCTCAGTGGTTGAGTATCGACCTATAAACTAGGAGGTCAGGTTTTGATTCCGGGTCAGGTCACAACCTGAGGGGGAGGGTCATGCAGGAGGCAGCCAATCAATGATTCTCTTTCCTCATTGATGTTTCTATTTCTCTCCCCCTTTCCTTTCCTCTCTGAAATCAATAAAAATATTTAAAAAATAGAGCTAAAACTTTATCCTCCAAGCATTTACTATTACATAAATGAGTTTCAGATCTGTTTTTAAGAAAGGATTCTGAAAGGGAGAGACAGTGGGGAGTGAGGAGAGAACCTGAGTTTGGGTAAGGAAGAAGAAGAGACAAATTTAACCTGTTCTATAGATTTTCCTAAGTCCAAACCTGAGAATTATGCTCAATAAAACATGTTAAAAATGCTTCTACCACCTCCTGAGGGATTGGCTCCTGTTGCCAATAGTATGCAAATGCATCACCTGGAAGAGCTTTCTCACAGAAAGGCTTGTACATGTTTCAGTTGATTTTTGCCACATGTTTTGATTACATGTAAATCCTATTTCTCCACGAAAGGGGTGAGCACAGGGCTGGCTGCAGTTGGATGAAGTGATGCAAGGACCATGACATTTCTCTGCAAAGGAAAAGAGAGAGAGAGAGGTCTGATTAGCAGTCCCACACTTCGATGGGGGCATCAAACTCATACTGGGGATTTTAAGTTCCTTCCAAAGGAGGTGATATTGACCTGGGTCCTCAGCAACAAGACAGACCTGCCAGGCAGGTTGTGAAGCTGATGTCTAGGCAGTGGGTGGAGAGGAGGAATCACCGGTCTTTCAGAAAAGCTAGCTCAGAGCATCTGAGGGGAGAGTGGCCAGAGATGAGGAGGGGGGAGGAAGCAGTGGTTAAGTGCTGAAGGACCTTGAATGCTGTGCTAACATGGGCATTACCAGAAAACAAGATTAAATTTGTTTTTGAAAAAAAAAATTAACAGTAGCATAGAGCAGGAATCTGCACACTTTTATGTAAAGGATCGTATAAATGTCAAATAAAACACAGGATGTTCACATAAATGTTAATTTTATTTTCAGACACAGTCGATTCTCATTATTTGCAGTAGTTATTTTCTATGAAGTCACTGCCATAAACACTGAATCAGCAAATACTGAGCCATTGTTCCTAGAGGAATACAAGGTGTCTAGGAGCTGCTGCTCACAAAATTTTCAACAGATCAGTATCAATCTATGTTTGTTTTATGTGTGTTTTAATTTAATGTCACCTTATATAATCAATAGTTGATTTATTGACATTGAACTCATGGACAATAGTGCTATAACTCATGATAGCATATAAACAAAGCTTATCGAAAACAGGTGTTTTCTCCAGAAGGTACATCACAGCTCGGTTAGGAACACTAGACAGCACTTCGCCCTATACTTGGGGGCCATATTAAACAGCAAGATCGCCAACAAAAAAAGCGAAATACCTGGCATTACATAGGCCACCCAAAGAACACTGTGTGTGGTAAGAGAGCTGGAACCAGAAGGCAGAGCACCACTTGTGCAACCTCAGCTGGGAACATGCCCCCAGCTGACTCATTTTTTTTGCTGTTTTGTGAATGATGGAGAAAGGACTGTGAGTGTTGATTTTGAGATTGCAAATACCTTTCAAAAGAGTAGGGGAATTTGCCAATACACAATCCACAAATAATGAGGACCGACTGAAGATGTTCAGATAAACAATGAATACTGTTTTAGGGTATATATGGTCCATGCATTCTTATTCATTGTTTTTCTGAAATGTAAATTTAACCAGACATCCTATGTTTTTATTTGCTAAATATGATTATACTCACCACAGAGTAAATAGTTTCAACACTGTGGGCTATACAGTCTCTGTGACAACTACTCAACTCTGCCTTTGTAGCATGAAAGCAGTCAAAGGTAATATATAAATGAATGGGCATGGCTGGGTTCCAATAAAACTTTCTTTACAAAACCTGGTGGCAGGCTTATTTTGGCCCATGGGCAGAGTGAATTGACTTGAGGCAGAGAGCCCAGAAATGAAGCTGTCGAAGTATTCCTAGGAGAGTGGCAGGGAAATGGAAAGAAGTAAATGAGGCTGAGAGCTATTAAGGTGTTGACATCAATATGACGTGGTGATTTGGCTGTGAGATAAGAGTACACCCACATTTATGTCTTGGATAGCTCTGTGGATGACTCCATTCACAGAGAAAGGAAGCAAGTGGGTTTACCCAGTGTATCAATTTGGCAGTTATTTAAACTGAGTGCCTCTCAGTTTATATAATTTGGAGATGATACCATGGTGTTGTTACAAACATTAAATGAGAGACAGCATCTTGTGCAGCACTTCGTCTATAAATGCTCAATAAAGTATCTCAAATTTTCTCCTCTTTCCTTTTTCAATTCCATATCTAAGTAGAGATTTATCTCCCACCAAAAATATACTTGGTCATGAATGTGCAGAATCCAGTTTATTCCTGTTATTTGGGTGAGAACCACATGATTTCACTATTTTGTGACTAATAATTACTTACATAGTTTGTCTTTCACTTCTCAAGAGTGACCAGTCTCACCAATACAATATCTATCTGACATCACTTCAACATACCTCTCAGCACCAAAGCATTACGTACATTGAAGCAATACAAAAATATCTTTGGATGAAGACATGAATGAATAATGTCCTTTCCCCTCTTCTGCCTCTTGTTAGCTTGTTAGTTCAAATGGATTTTCCTTGTGGGTTTTTAAATGAACACTTATCTACTATTCTAGAATCTGTGAATATTTGCCAACTTTCTTCATTGACTATGCCATGGATAATGGTATAATTGCAAGAAAATCTATCACTATTGGTAAACATTGAGAACTTATTAGATATTTTTTATATATTTTTTCTGTTTGTATAGATGAGATCATTTGTTTATTTATTTGTCCATCATGTTTATAAGCATCTATTATTTATGTAGCCACTTTGGAAAATCTAGAAAAGTAAACATCAACCACATTTCCCAGGCTCTAGGGTACTACTACTGGGTCACACTAATGGTGAAGGCCATATTTTCCAGGCTCTTGTCTCTATTGTTCAAGCAGCACTCCCAGCACCACCACCACCCCGTGATCATTCTCACTCAATTTGCATCTAGTTTTCAGGGGATGGTCAACATGTCCTTATAAACTAGGCTGTAAGCTACAGTTACATTGAAGCATGTTCCATATTCTTCCACCCCAGCTTTGCACTCTTTCCTCCCTCACCACTGTTGTCCATTCCTGAGATGTTTCTTGAAAATTTCATCAAGTATGTGTGGCCAGTGCTCACTGCTTCCAGGACTCCAATGACACTTTTACCATTTGCAACAGCATGGATGGAACTGGAAAGCATTATGTTAAGCGAAATAAGCCAGTTGGAGAAAGATAAGTATCACATGATCTCACTCATATGTGGGATATAATGATCAACATAATTTGATGAACAAGAATAGATCCAGAGACACATGGTGGGGGGCGGGGAAGGTTAGAGAGCAACCAAAGGACTTGTATGCATGCATATTAGCATAACCAATGGACACAGACACTGTGGGGGGGGCGTTGACTTGCCTGGGGTGGGAATGGCTGGGGAGGGGTGAATTGGGGGAAATGAAGACATATGTAAAACTTTAGACAATAAAAAAAATAAAATAAAAAAGAACAGGAGGGAAGAGGACAGAGGAAAGAACCCATGAATTCAAAAGTAGATATTACCTAATCTGAACAATATAGAGAAAATAGACTTTAAAAAAAGAAGAATGAACAAAACCTCTGGGAATTGTGGGACTATGACAAAAGATCTGATAGTCATCATTCATGTCATTGGAGTCCTGGAGATTTTTATATTTTATTGGAAGACTTGTGGTCTGGGGACATGCTTGTCATGTCTTCAAATGGAAGAAGACTGTAGCCACATACCTTGTATCCTTCCAGTCTTGGGTTTCTCTTCAAGATGTTGATGTTTATCTCCATCCTGTAAAACACAAATTCCCAAAGGTCCTCTTTACTGTGGAATTCTCCTCTCTCATCTCAACTTAGAGGCTCCATGTGGATGTGAAGAGAAAATGTGTTCAGGACTAGGAAGAAAAATGCAGCGGGTTCATGTGCTGATATCGCAAGAACTTGCTGAAGGAAACATGGATGTGAGCATGGACAGAGAATACACTGCCCTCCAAGAAGGACTAGAACCTTGTTGCTGGTCACCTGGGCTCTGAAGGTCAGGTTAGTGGATTGTGTCCATCTTTTGGAAAGTCTAAGTATTCAGACAGACCACACAGAGGACAAGCAATTTCAGCACTAAGCTGTTCCCTGCCTATCTTAACTGTAACTGTGAAATGCAGCTTATGTACTCCAGCATATATTGAGAAAAAGAGAAATGAACGGATACTAGAAGTAAGCATTTGGTTGTAATAATGGAATCACAAATTCTTTTATAGCTATAACTATCAAGTTTACCTAAAAGAAATAAACATACCCTTCATGTTATAGATAAGTAAATTAAAACTCAGAAAAGTGAAGCAACTTGTGTAACTAACAAGAATCAAACAAAGTTAAGGTCTGAATCTAAATCTGTCAACTACCTAACTGCCAGGATAGTGAGTCATGTCCTACCTAATGATGCTTTGGTCAATGACAGACCATGTGTACGACTGTGATACATCATGTAGCCTAGGAGTGTAATACACTATACCATGTAGGTGTGTAATTGCACTGTATAGTGTTCATACAATGACCTAAATCACCTAATGATGCATTTCTCAGAACATATCCCCGTCATTAAGAAGCTCATGACTGTACTTCCTCCTTTCAATCGCTGCCTTTCTATAGTCTCTGTGGTTTCAAAGTGATTTTTCTACTATGTTGTTGTACCCTGTTGCACCTTGCAACTATACTGTTGCAAGTCCCAGCCACCTCTCAAATTTTCTTTCTTCCTATATCTAGAAAACTACTATCAGCAAGAGTAAAATGGCAGTCATTTGAAAATATCTTTAACATGACATGTTATTTATCATAAAACTAGCCATCTAGACAAAATGCCAGTTTTCTCATGGGGATTTTGGATCTATAGTGAGAACATTCTACTTACTTTTATGTGGATCTTGGCTCTATACTGAGAACATTCTGTGGTCAGAAATAACATTAAACAGCAAATCATGGTTGACTGAGACTTCATTTTCACACATTGAGATCTTCACCTGCAATAGAGAAAGAAGGTGCAGCTGGCTGTAGGTGATGATGCCACACAACTAGCATAATACTTCACAGAAAAACCAACCACTGAGCGACTCTATTGGGTACTTTGAGATATTTATACCAAACAACCTACCTCAGGAAAAAACAGACTGTCTATTAACTATTGACTTGTCTACAAACAGGAGCAAGAATGATGGAAGTACCAGGAAAAATATATGTTCTCCAAAGCAGCATTTCTTATTTAATCCACAACTTTCTTTAACAATAAAATGTCCAAGAACTTTTATTTGCTAATCACTGTTCTATGCACTTTTGCTGCAATAAACTCATGTAATCATGTGGTACAAGGTATTAGTACTGGTTTCATGTTATCAATGGAGAAACTAAGACACAATGACTTGAGCAACTATGAGCCCAAGTCACTCGGATGAAAGATGGTGGAGCCAAGAGTTCAAGCAGGTGGTTTGGGTGGAGAAGAATTGTTAATCTCTTTATTCTTAAAGGGTGTCCAGTGGGGAACAAAGAAATGTCAAACCAATGGTGGGAAGAGAGATTATCTTTATATTATACCTAGTGAACAAGGTTTGGCAGACACCTAGCCTTCAGGAAAGAAAAGTCCCTTTATGGTCAAATGGACATGAACTTACTTTGATCTCTCTAGGCTCCAAAGGCAATCTGTGGCCAGGCAGCAGATGAAATCACTGATCTACAGTCAAACTTTTCCTGGGTGGAGTCAAAACTGAGATGGGTTTTCATGACTCTAGTGAGCCTTCAAGTGAGATGATGACACACGGTCACTTATAGGGAAGTTTCCAAATTGTCTTTGAGTTTAAAATCATCTTTGAGTTTCTAACCATTGAACAGGGGAAAGTATTTTGATTTATACCAATGTCTTGTAGAGCCAGTCTGGGCAGAGGAAAGTGAACATGGCAGAATGACTGGCAAAGTGTGGTCATAGATTTATATGGGTGTTGGGATATGTGTGCAGAATTCTTGATCTTATAGTGTAGGTGGAAAAAAGTTCTCATTTATATAGTGCTCATTGGTGGATGAGCACACTAAGCAATTTGCAATGTAAATATTATTTAGATGAATTTTTAACTGATGATCTCAAAAAGAAGTACCTGAAGAACCAGTATAGGTTGGCTTAAATGTATCCATGTGTTTCACCTGTATACCTGTAGGTTGCACAAATTTTTAATATGACACAATAAGAAACAGATCTTATATTGTAACTCGGTGTATACAGACAAATATATGTATATGTATATATGGGTATCCATATATAACTGAAAAAATAGATTTATTTTATTATCCAGTTGAAAATTGTTCACTTTTCCCATTAAAGTGGTCATTTTGATCCTTTCTCTTTGCTATTCTTTACAATGATGTTGAAATTTCCTTGCCTGGGTACATGTATCAGGGAGAAAAGATACCTACATTCAGGACCACATACTAGGACTGATGCTGAAGATAAATGCAATTCTCTTCTATCTGGAGACAATGGTTTGAAATGCAGGTAAATGGAGGAAGGGGAGCCAACAGCAGGCATTTATAAGCAATAGTGCCTTCTATCTAAGGCTGCAGAGGAAGGCCACTTTTACTCTAAGTTTTCAGTATAAGAACTTTGCATAAGCTAATCTTGCTAGAAAGAAGTCAGGCATTTGGCTTAAGATGTGATGGGATGTTGTGTGAATTAGGGAGTCCAAAAATGTTTCCTCAAGCAGTGCTAGGGCCTCCAGATATGCAAATCCTGAAAGGATTCAAGTAAAGGGGCCAATGGTCATGGCATTTTATGTAGATCATTATACTCTTTGCGGAACATTAGGAAATAATAATACATTTTATATATTCACATAAACTATAAATGTAGTCGGGAAGCCACCGCTTTCTCAATACTATCATAAGAGTGCACCAAGGAATGCAGAAGGCCGATGGACCTTGGACTTGAGATAGCGGTGGCTGGAAGCAATTTCCTGACCTAATAGCCTCAAAGTAAATGTTTACTGGACGTTACTGATCTTTATTGACCTTAGAGACGGTCTGTCTGCTACCTGTTTGTCTTGCTTTACTGAGGGCGAGATGTGTATCTAAAACTGAATAAAAAGCAGATAAGGCCAGGTTCCAGTGTGCCTCTCCAAGAGAGAGGTCTCCACCTGCCCCCCCCCATGCCTTCTAATTCATATTTCTTGTATAGTATTTTCATTTGTGCATCGACCCCTTCTTCAGATCCTGAACCCCCACTGCAAAAGGTTGTGGCAACGTATACTAGCAGAAATATACCAGGTATATGCAAAATAAATCATAAGCATGACCATAAGAAACACAAACTTTGAACTGAGCACATTTGGCTATTTGGGGGTTTCAGTTAATGAACTTGCTACTTGCTCATTCATGTTATTATAGTCTACTGTAGGTAACCCACATACCATTTGGTATGATAATTACATGGTAAATTTCCTTCAGTTATTATAAATGTGTGTGGGAGGGGTGGAAAATGTTTATGATGTTACCCAAGAGGTGTTATAACATTCTTATTTTTGCCCAGTTTAATTGGCAAGCATGGGCCGGATGGGTAGATGTTTTCAAGTTAGGCCCCATTGGGTTATTTCTTTTCCTACCAGATAGAGTTGAATGGGAGCCCTCCCATCAGAATCGAATAATGACTGAGGCCAAAAGCCAGAGTGCTCTGCAGAGCAGACAGCAAGCAGAGCGTAGGACTCTGAGGATGGAAACATTTTAAAAATTAAAAAGAAGCCAGCATAATCCAAAATCAGAGGTTGATATTTTATAGGACAGAATGGAGGAAGCACACGTTCTTAGATTTATCACTGATAAAGAATTAGCAGTTCAAGTGAACTTTGAGTTTTACATAAGTCCCAACTGAAAACTATCTGCAGATACAAATAAGGTACCTCTCCAATACCTAGGACAGTGCCTGCATGTAGTACATTATCTCTTGAAATAATGAGGGAAAGAAAAGAACAAGGACACAGAATCTAAATATATTCAATTAACTGTGCCAAGAGGAGTGTGGATTGTCCAGAAGAATATCAGCAAAACATGGGCAATGCCATCAGAAGAAGCGTTCAGATGTGAATCTCACCGAGGCAAACTCTCCTGCTTGTTTGTTTGTTCCTGCTGAAGAGTGGCTGGAGTCATGTGATGTCCTTTCCTACATGGAGAATCCAGAGTTGCTCCATGTACTTTATGCTCAGATGACCTTTATGCCATCTATTAACCTCTGGTTCTACAGTGTGTTCAATTTAGCAAAAACTCTGCGTCTTTGTGAAATCTATTTCCACAAATCCCTTGGGCTTAATACTGTTTGGCGAACTATCACTGGTTATTTAAATCAAGGTCCTAAGGTCTCACATTTTTATGGACCCCCATATCTACATTCATAAAATAAACTTTGGATATTAACAATCAATCAATTAATCAATCAATCCAGAACCTCGTACCCAATGGGGGAAAATAAAAACAGTAAATAGTAATCCTGACAGGATAGTGATATAATATGCATGTTTATGCCCGGGACCCACCAGTTGTTTGCCAACAGTTTGTAACACCCACCAAACTTAAATTTTAAAAATGGAAGAAAAACTTAACGAGGATATTGGTACCCACTGACTTAAATTCTATGAATTCTATGAATTCAGTAAGTTTACCCGCTTTACTCTTAGTAGGAAAAAGATACAGAGTTTGTGTCTATTACATTTGGCCAACATATTGTGTCCTGAAGTGGGTTTCTCTGGAGCACTGGTCTCACAAAAGCCTGAGGGGTTCCAAGGTTAGATCACTTTGGGAAACAGCATGTACCAGCATCACCACTGCCGCCCCTTCACCCACACCTACGCATAGCAAAGACTCTGAGAGCAATTCCAGTAAGAAGACTGACCCAGGTTTTGCCAAATTTACTTGATCATCAAAAGTACTTTGGGGAATTGAAGGCTGCTATGTGAGAACACAATGTTACCTTGGAGTATAACACATTAACCTATCCAGGCTCAGACTCCACTTGCATTTACGGGGCACCTACCACATGCCAGTTCCCTGTGAGCTCCTAAGCTACTCACACTGGACCCACAGTCGCCCACTAGTGAGTAAGAGTGTGGGCTTTAGTCAATTCTGAAAGAAGGAGGCTGTGGACAGACGGACAGATCATCTTTAATCTGTGAAACGAGTCAGAATTATTCTGAAACGTGATGCTCAGAGTGGAGAGGTGAGGGAAGGCAGGCACGAAGTGGCTTGGCAATCAGAAGTTTGGAATGATCACCAGGGAAGGGAAGATAGGCTCATAAATGAGAATAAAAATGAGGAAGAGAAAACAAGATGCCAAAGAACTCCTGCCTGAGACTCCCTGTGGTAGCTTCCTATATAATGAGGTATCTGACCTTCACAAAGAAGTTCCCTCCGGCTTCTAGGCTAGTCACCCGACAAA